GGGAAGCCGCGGACCCCCGACGCCAGCACCGCCAGGGGCTCCCGGAGGCCCAGCCTGTCTTGGGGGCACCCCGGGCGTTTCGGCCGCGGCGTCTACCGCGTCGTCTTCAACCTCATCGTCGGTGGCGGAGGTGGGCGTGGGTGCTGGTGGCAAGAGGCCCGGCTCAGTGTCGAGTACCGACCAGGAACGCGAGCTGAAGGAGAAGCAGAGAAACGCGGAGGCCCTGGCCGAGCTAAGCGAGAGCCTGCGCAACCGCGCCGAGGAGTGGGCCAACAAGCCCAAGATGGTCCGAGACACGCTGCTCACGCTGGCGGGCTGCACGCCCTACGAGGTGCGTTTCAAGAAGGACCACTCGCTGCTGGGCCGCGTCTTCGCTTTCGACGCTGTCTCCAAGCCCGGCATGGACTACGAGCTGAAGCTGTTCATTGAATATCCTACGGGCTCGGGCAACGTGTACTCCAGCGCGTCTGGTGTGGCCAAACAGATGTACCAGGACTGCATGAAGGACTTCGGCCGGGGCCTCTCCTCCGGCTTCAAGTACCTGGAGTACGAGAAGAAGCACGGCTCCGGGGACTGGCGCCTGCTTGGGGACCTGCTACCCGAAGCCGTGCGCTTCTTTAAGGAGGGCGTGCCCGGCGCGGACATGCTGCCCCAGCCCTATCTGGATGCCAGCTGCCCCATGCTGCCCACGGCGCTGGTGAGTCTCAGCCGCGCCCCCAGCGCACCTCCGGGGACTGGGGCCTTGCCGCCCGCCGCGCCCTCGGGCCGGGGCGCAGCTGCTAGCCTACGCAAGAGGAAGGCGTCCCCGGAGCCCCCGGACTCAGCCGAGGGCGCGCTGAAACTGGGCGAGGAACAGCAGAGGCAGCAGTGGATGGCAAACCAGAGTGAGGCACTGAAGCTCACCATGTCGGCCGGGGGCTTTGCGGCGCCTGGTCACACTGCTGGGGGTCCGCCCCCACCACCCCCACCCCTGGGACCCCATTCCAACCGGACCACCCCGCCGGAGTCAGCCCCGCAGAACGGTCCGTCCCCCATGGCCGCCCTCATGTCAGTAGCAGACACTCTGGGCACAGCGCACTCGCCTAAGGATGGCAGTTCAGTGCACTCAACCACTGCGTCCGCGCGGCGCAACAGCAGCAGCCCAGTGTCGCCCGCGTCGGTGCCTGGGCAGCGCCGCTTGGCATCACGTAACGGGGACCTGAATTTACAGGTGGCGCCCCCGCCGCCTAGCGCCCACCCGGGTATGGACCAAGTGCACCCCCAAAACATTCCGGATTCCCCCATGGCCAACAGCGGACCTCTCTGCTGTACCATTTGCCACGAACGTTTGGAGGACACGCATTTCGTTCAGTGCCCATCCGTCCCCAGCCACAAATTCTGCTTCCCTTGCTCTAGAGAGAGTATCAAGGCCCAGGGGGCCACTGGCGAGGTGTATTGTCCCAGCGGAGAGAAATGCCCCTTAGTTGGGTCGAATGTACCTTGGGCCTTCATGCAGGGCGAAATCGCGACTATCTTAGCTGGGGATGTTAAAGTGAAAAAGGAGAGAGACCCTTGAACCACAGGGCACCCACCTCTGCCCTAGACCAGCTCCTCTCCAATCCAGAAAGCCCCTCCCCCACCCCTCCTCCAATCTCCCTCCCCTCACCCCCAAGATGTAGAATTGTGAATATAACAAACTGCAAAAAGTTAGTCTTATGTATAGACATTATTTTCGTCGTATGTTTCTATATTTTGAAACAAAGGTATGTAACTTCTTCATTTGAAGGATAAGCTGGTTTGTGTTAAGCAGTATAATATTAGTTGGGTCATTTGCATCATATTCGTTAGCATTTATTTGGTGGCAGAATGTTTGCCTAGGTACAGAATTAATAGCCCTTAGCAACGACTGCTGCTGGTGTGTATTTTTGTAAATGTTATGCACTCTGAAAGGAAAAAAACACACAAAAGAAAAAGTTTTTTTTTCTTTTTTCTTTTTTTTTTGCCAAGGCCAGTGTTGCTGCCTAAAAAAAAAAATAATAATAATGATGCTATAAAATGGTGAAAGCTTCTTTCTAAACAGCCCCAAGTGTTGAAGTCTTCACTTTATTTTGTTCTGTTCTGTTTTGTTTTGTTTTCCTGTTTTGTTTGCAAAATGGTAAGGGGGGTGTTGGGGGGGGACGGGGTGTTTTTTGTTGCAAGTTTGTGAGGGGAAGATGTTTAGGTTTGTTTCTACTGACCTGAATGTGTTGGATCTTCACGTGTTGTTTTGTTTTTGCTTTATTGATGCACGGATGCTTTTGAACAGTAGAGCGAAATGCTAGACATGGAGAATCTGCTCTGTTTGTCCTTTATACATTTCTGTAGTTAACAGAACACTGTAATGTGCCTTGGAGCTTAGTAACTTGTAATAAATTCAATTGATATTAATTCTGCCCCGAGTCAGCAAGTTTTGTCTTTCTAGGGCTAAGGCCACACAACTCCGACCTAGGGGACACCTTCCCTACCCTCAACAGAACAGGAATGCTAGTCCCTTTGAAAGCCCTCAGCTGGCCTGTGAGGAAGGCCCTGTGCTGCCTGGCTGGCTGCCCCTCCCCCTCAGTACCAGGCTATTTACATTCACCTCTTGGGGAGGCGACAGTTGCTGACTAAGCGATTTCTGTTTACTCTTCAGCATCTCTATTTTCCCCCGGAAATGGGGCCCAGCTGCAAATGGCATTGTCAGGAACGCTTTCTGGTGCCTTGCCCTGTGGCCATGAGTATACGCTGATACCCAGTGCATCTGTGACTTGACCAGTGGGGCGTGGGGGGTGGGTGGAGAAAAGCTAGGGTGCTTCGCCTCTTGGCTATGTCAGTATTCACTGTTGATGCACATTGAAAGCAAAAAAATGCCACAGAGCTAGGATTCGTCAGCGAGGGCAGAGGGGTGTGGGCAACCGGGAAGCAAATGCTGAGCCCAGACACGGGAGAGCCCCCGCAGCTTCCAGTCGATGCGCTGGAAAAGCAGTGTTCGCCTCGCTCATTACATGCCCTCCGCCTTTTAATAAGTATTTCCGAAGGCAGAACACAGCTGATCAGAGTGGGGGTTCAGGGGATGGGGAACCCGGGCTGGAGGCGGAAAAACCTAAACCCGGTTCCTGAAATGAAGGTTACTTATGACACCTAATAAAATCCATTTCTATCGGTGAAGACATGCAATTACTCATGGGATCAACTTTTTGGCGGCATTTGTGAAGTGTCAAGGAGTGGGGAAGGGGACAGAGAACTAATGCTTTTCGGAGCTTAGAGCCCCGGAGCTGAGACCAGACTGCAGCCCGCCCCGAGGTAGCGGAAGGCAAACAAACCTGGTTTGAACCTTGTACTTTCCTGGGAGGCAAATAGAAGAAGAGTAGAAAATAGAAGGGAGGAAGCAAAACAAAACGCCGCGATCCTATCTGAAATTCATTCCTGGCCACGCCCCATTCCTGGGCGGGGCGAGCTGGGCTCCGACCGTCCCCTCGGAGGCTGGAGGAAGATGTGAAGAAACTTGGCGACCCCACCTCACTCCTATCCCAGAAGGAGCGGGAGGGCTGCGAGAGGGGTGTGGGCACAGGCACGTTTGGAGAAAACAAATCACCGGTTAGCCCAGTACCCCGGTGTGGAGGTTGGGTTGGTGTTGGAACTTGCTGTTAACGACACCCTTTTAGTTTCTGTTCCTGCTATTTGCCACCACCATCATAGAAGCGGTGGAAACCAGGACAGTGTATGTGTTTGTGTGTCTGCGGGTGTGGATACCGGGAGATATTGATGAATCTGCTGCAGTCTCTTAATCCTGGTCCATGGGAGGTGCCTGTCTCACCTCTTTAAGAATCTCCCCACATATAAATAGACATTCGTGTCAGCTTCCTGCAAATGTGTCCTTGCATTTTCATCTGCTGCCAAGTGTTGTATTGGTGCTTATGAGTCATGAAACCTATTTTCATCCTCAGGGGTAATTAACTTGGGGGTGGGTGATAATGCATAGCAGACTGTAGGAAGAGTTAATTCTAAAACCCATCCTCGCCTGGCTACCAATCACACATTTCACTTAAAGGTCTGGGTTGGCTTTTCTCATAAGCTCATTAATTACAAAAAAAAAAAAAAATCCTGAGGATGTTTCGCCTGGAAGATCTTCTAAGGTGCTCCCAACCCCCACTCCCAATGCATACACTCTTGAAATGGGTTAAGGCTCGGCAGCCTGAGAAGACAGCCATTCATGGGTGTAATTTAACCACTGCTGAAGGAAGGAGCTGTGATATGAACTTGGATGTGTGGATTACCTGTCTGGGTGTGGACCCTATGAGTAGCGTCTGGTGGCTCCCGCTGGGAGCCTGCCCTGTTATCTTCCTCTGTGTGCTCACCGGCTCCTGCCTGCTCAGAACTCTCTTCATGGCTTTGGTATTATGCTCAGGAACTTTTAGGATTACAAGACCCTTGATTACTGGTGCACAGAGGTAGGCAAGGGGGCCTGTCATTACGAATTTAGACCATATAGTTTTCTCCCCTCTCTTGTTGCCAGGTGCTATTATTAGCGAGAAAAGCAGTAACTGTAATAATGAGGCATCCAGCAAAGGAGACCAGTTTTGTTTCAAGCCTGACTTGATGAGACCTGGGGGAGAGGAGGAGGGAGCTGGAGGGAAAGAGTGGGTTGGGGTGGAATACTTGCTGAAAGTGAATTATAATGGCGCAGTTAATTAAAGTTTACCCTAGCCATGGGCTATTTGTTAAATGGTGGCTCGCCCTTCTTCCCCCTCTCTCTATGTGTGTCTCTGCCTCTTTTTCTTTCTTCCTTTTACTTATTTTATTTATTTATTTATTAGCCATGTAACCTTCCTCTTTTCTGGACACATTCAGTTGCTACTCTGGTGACTTAATTTGATCCTTTGCTAAGTCCCTCCTTCCCTGAAGCATTCTGTGTGCAATACCTAGGAAGCAATTCCCGCCCGCCCCCCCCCCCCCAGCATGTGAGGATTCTTGTGGGTTTCAGAGTTTCAGACCCAGGTATCTGGATGAACCAAGCCTTCATTCATCTCTGTGTCACCCAGGGTTTCTCCACTTCCACTTCTCATTCTTTCTACCTCCTTCCCCCTCAGAGCCAAAGTAGTCAACTTTCTAAGTCTATATTGCATTCATTTATATCACTACTTCTGTGCCCATCCCAAGCTGGGTATCTCTTCTAGTGGGCATGAGGGTAGAGCAATGAGAACTTAATTCAACAGCTTTGAGAGAATACTCCGAAGGAGTTCATTTCTTGACTTTGATCCCTGCAGGCATCATCATGAGTGATCCATTGTGGAGGATAGCTAAACACATCAACTTCCAAAATATTGAGATTCAAGGTACGTTTTCACATCCATCCTGCCCTGGAGTGGCTGATATAATGAGTATAGAAATTTACTTTTGTTTCCTTGTAAACTTCACCTAGTAAAGAAAGTTAGAAGTGGAAATGATCCTTGGGTGATCTAGTAAAGTGTTTTCTAAACCTTTTGGGAGTCAGAGATACCTTAGAAAAATCTAATAAAAATTGTGGTTTTCCCCTAATAAAGTAACCGGTTGTCTATGAATTGCACACTTTTTTTTTTCTCTGGTATTGGGGATTGAACCCAGGATGCTCTACCACTGAACAAAATTTTTTATTTTGAGACAGGGTCTCACTAAGTCGCCCAGGCTGGCCTTGAACTTGAGATCCTCATTCCCCTACCTCCAGTCACTAAGGTTATAGGTGTGTGCCACTGTGCCCCAATTATTCTACATGTTTTCTTTGCTTTTTAATATATGCATTTATTTTTGAGTGGATAATACATTCCTTTGGCTTGAAATTCAGAAGATGCAAAAGGGAATACAGTACAACTGTAATGTCCCCTTTTTATAATTGGCCCCTCTGACACCAGGTTCTCTTCTGGGATACGACCAGTGTTGTATTTATAGAGGGGTCTGTGTATATCTGAAACCTATCCGTGGAATGTAAGGTTAGAACCCTAGTGCATTTGCCTTATAGTGATGAGGACTTCAAAGCACAGAGATGTGAATAATTTGCCTATGGTCACACAGTGGCAGAGGGTGGGCTAGATCTCTGTTAGGAAACAGCACAATTTTAAGGCATTTGGCTTAACTAGAGCCTTTTATGAGAAGGGGTAATGAGTGATGGGCAGAATGATGATGAATACCTGGTGGGGTAGATCATCTAGGATGTAGTAAAAACAAACTAGCATTTGCCCCATGGTGTCTCTCTCTCTCTCATCATTCCTTTTGGGAAAGGGGATATTCAAAGAAGTTTCCATAGCCTGGTGCGGTGGTGCACATCTATAATCCCAGTGGCTCCAGAGGCTGAGGCAGAAGGATCACAAATTCAAAGCCAGCCTCAGCAAAGGTGAGGTGCTAAACAACTCAGTGAGACCCTGTCTCTAAATAAAATACAAAAAAGGGCTGGAGATGTGGCTCAGTGGTCAAGTGCCCCTGAATTCAATCCCCCGGCCTCCCCCTCCTCCCCCAAAAAGAAGTTTCTATGATTCTGGCTATAAATGTCAGGTGGGTCCAAACTGTTCTTAACCTTTGATCTGTGGACCTTTACACCACCTCCCCCTTTGCTGACTGGAAACTTCTGAAGGTTTCAAGACAGTCACATAGGTAGCTGACTAAGACCAACTTGGCACAACCGTTTGTAAGATGAAGGGTGGGGGACACACCTAGCACACTTTGCTCATTTCCTTGAAGTTGGGGCTTCTTTTCCTGTCCTTGTCCTTGTCTGACATCTCTGCCTGGGTATCTCTCTGCCACTTCAAAGGAGGGAACTGAAGGTGTCAACGACAGGCCAGGGGTTCCACAGTGTGCCAGGTAGATGTGCACTTTGCCATCCATGCTGCACCCTGGCCCTCAGGAAGGTGCGGTGACCCCTTTTACACACATGCCCGCCAAGCTCAGACACATTAAAGACCCAAGAACATCCAGACTCACTGCAGCTCAAACCCAGGTCAGCTGAGAGCCAGGCCTCCTCCCAGACGCCAAGGTTCCTCCATGCAGCGGGCCTCTGACTTCTGACCCCAGGGCCCAGGGGTGTGAGGCTCAGAGCATGACTCCATCCATGACCCCACTCTGCATCTTCCTGGGTCTTGGAGGGAAACCCACCAACACAGGGATCAAGGCCATCTACAGGAGGGGACATCCGGAAGATTCCAGGGCAGCCACTCGCAGGCTCCATGTTTGGGGATCACTCAGGGGTACCGTGTGAACAATATTCAGTCAGGGATTCTGGACTGAGAGTTGTGAAATCTCCCTCCACGGACTCCTACTTTCAAACTTAATTAGAGAGCAAACCCACCTTGGTCTCAGCTTTGATGAAACGGAGGGGTGGGCAGGAAGCAGATGGTGAGTCTAGATTCTAAAACATGTTGCTCCTTTGGGGAGCCTCAGCCCCACC